GGGGGGGGGGGGAGCGGAGAGCGGCGCCGAGTCGGTCCGAGAGGCGCCTCAGCTGCTGCAGCGACGCGTTCTGCGCCTCGTCCACGATGACAAACGCGGCCTGCAGAGGAAGGTTCCGAGAAGGTTCAGAGAAGGTTCTTGCGCCTCGTCCACGATGACACACGCGGCCTCGTGCGTGCGGCCGCGCATTCAGCAACTGCTAATTAAATCACTGCTACTTCATTAGTTAATGAAACGCGGCCTCGTGCGTGCGGCCGCGCATGCCGGCGAACGACTGCGTCTCGAGCAGCCGCGCGGCGGCCAGGGCGTCTGCCGCCGTGTGGTCGCCCATCACTTTGGTGATTGCGTCGACGAGTGGCGTCAGGAGCCGCGCCTTTGCCTCCTCCTCCTCGTCGTCGTCGTCGGCGCGGCCAGTCGGGTCCGGGCGGCCGAGAATGACCTAGGGGACATGTCCTGGACATGTCCGAGACAGCTGCGGGTGTGAAGAGACGCCGTTCACAGCAGAGGAGAGGACCCGGGCCACACTGCCTTTGCGCAGCCGCTGGAGACCCTCCTGCACCGCAGACAGGCGAGATATAGGGGAGATACAGCCGAGATACAGCCGAGATACAGCCGAGATACAGCCGAGATACAGCCGAGCTGTAGTCTCCCCAGCTGAGGTGCAGTGACTAGTGTGCGTCTGTCGTGTGGGGCACGAGACACAGCCGAGATATAGTTGCGATTCAGTGGAGAGGTAGCCCTTGGACCTGCACCGCGAACAGCGTCTTCCCCGTCCCGGCGGGCCCCAAGGCGACGATGATCTCCGAGTGCGACAGCTGGCGGTGGTACCGCCGCTGCCCCTCGCTCTTCGGCACCGCCTGCGCCTGCTGGTACGCTCCCCAGGAAAAGGCTGCCGCGGGCTTCACCTGCGACAAACAGCGGCAGATCCGACGGCCCAGGTGTCGGGAGGCGCGGTGCAGGAGGGCTGAGAAAGACTCGCGCCAGCCCGGCGTCAGGGAAATGTCTAGGAAGTGCCTAGGAGGTGTCTAGGAAGTGTCTAGGGAGTGTCTAGGAAGTGTCTAGGAAGTGTCTAGGAAGTGTCTAGGAAGTGTCTAGGAAGCGTCTAGGAAGTGTCTAGGAAGTGTCTAGGAAGTGTCTAGGAAGTGTCTAGGAAGTGTCTAGGAAGTGTCTGGGCAACGCCTCACCGGCCCGGCGTCAGCGAGGAGAGAGAGGGGGTAGGTGGTGGGCAGATGACTCGCTGCGCCGCCGCCGCCGCCTTCCGCGCCGCCTCCGCCGCCGCCGCCGCCGCGGAATCAGCCGCCGCCTCCAGCACGGCCGACTGCCGACGCCGCCGGTGACGCCGCCGCCGAGAGTCGCGGCATTCTTTGGGCGTTGTCTCACCGCCCGTACCGCCTCCGCCGCCCTCCTCGCCTCCGCCTGGCCCCGCAACGCTGCCGCTAAGCCCGCCGCCAGCCCAGCCGCCGCCAGCCCAGCCGCCGGCCTTTCCTCACAGCCGGAGCTGCGGTGAGGCAGTCCTCCGCCCGCTGCCCTCTCCGCCCGCGCCGCCGGCCGTGTCGTGTCGCCCACCTCCTCCTCCTCCTCCTCCTCCTCGTCGTCGTCGTCGTCCTCGTCCTCGTCGTCAGTCGCCGGGTACCAGTGCCGCGGGCGAATCGCTTCCGCCGGCCGGGAGGCATCCGGCGATGGCTCTGCGATTTCATGCCGCGACGTCGCGGTGTCGGTGGCGCCCGACGGCTCGGGATTCGCGAAGCGCGCCTTCCGCCTCCTGCGGGCCTCCTCCTCCGCTTCGTCTTCGGGAGGGTACAACGGGAGGCTAGACGCGCAAGCGGCTGCGCCCTCTCGCCGCCGCTTCTTGTCCCCGTCGCCGCAAGCTGCGCCGCTGACGCGAGACCGGAGGTCGGTGGTGGAAGGGCTGCCAGCGTGGCAGTCGAACCAGCAGGCGCCGTGAGCGTGGAAGCAGCGTGGTCCGTGTGGGCAGCGCACGGAAGCCTGACCGCGGCTGGCCCGGCTGGCGTCCCGCGCCTTGCCAGCCAGCCGCACCGGCCACGCGTCGGAAGAGAGGCCTAGCTTCTTCGTCACGTGAAACACGGCCGAGTGGCTCTGCAGCCAGCAGCCAAACGCGCCTTTTGGCACACGCGTGGGGCCTTTCGACGCGCCTCCCATGCGCGAGACCTCTTCACGGCAGCGGGGATCTGCTTCGTAGAGCGCCGCCGCCAAGACGCCCATGGTGAGCACTCCGCCTCGCTGGTGCAGAATTTGGATCGCCAGCGCGACCGCAGGCCGGCCTTGACCGGGCGACGGCTGGCTGATTGAGATGCGCCTCATCACCCGGCACGGCACTCGTTGGTGCGGCTGTGGCTCGGTGGATGGGGGTTACACTCAAAAAAAGAATTCTAGAGCTAAATCTAAAATCCTCTTTTTTAATTAAGGAAGTTGACCGAGGCGCCCGCCGAAGTCTCCGCAAGTCCGAGAGATAGCAGGTCGCGGCCGGGCGAACACAGGTATAGTCGGCACCGCATTCCTTCCCCTTCCCTCTCGCAAGTGCCCTCTCTGCGCGACCGATAGAGCCGTACGGATGGATCGAACGATGGAGTCGCCTGTCAAGCTCCGCCTGAAGGGGGTCAACTCCACCGCTGCGTTCCGCGCGCCTTCAAAGCGACGCGCGGCATTGGCGAGGACCAGACTGCGCGAGCCGGAGCTTGAGGAGGAGCCTGTGTTTGCAGTAAAGTGCAAGATTGACACGGACTCGAGCGAGAGCGAGGCAAGCCTGTGGGCGACGGAGGATGGGCCATCATTCGACACCATCGGAGGCTTCCGGCTCTGGTGCAGCGACGCGCCTCTGCAGCCGAGACCAGCTGACTCGAGAGGTGGAGGGAGGGACATGGCGCGGGTCGCCGCCGCGCTGCAGGCGGCCGGTCTCACTGCCTACACACAGGCGTTCGAAGACCTCGGCTACGACGACGTCTGCTTTCTTTGCAGCGAGCTGAGCGGGGAGGAGCTGGCAGAGGTGGCGGAGGAGGCGGCGATGGAGCCGGGCGATGCGCGGAAGTTTGTGAAACGGTTTGGGGGGGGTGCGACATAGCGAGGAGACGTCAACCACGCGATTTGTGAGGGTCGGCGACACGAGGACTCTCTCAAACACAATTCTCTCCACTGAATGTCCACCTGAGCTGTTTGTTTTAGTGTGCCTGATCGTGCTAGCCCTGCCCACTATAGACACTTTCGCAGCACAGCGAACCAACCTGTGAAAACTAACTCTGTGCGATTTCGGGTCCGGGGTTGTGCGTTTACGTGAAAACTAACTCAGCTGTGAGTGAAGAATAAGACTGAGAACGATGACTGTGGAGACTATGCTGCGGATGGGATGACTGGTGTGGCTCCGCGGGATGACTGGCGAGAAGCACATCCTATCCCTCAAATATTCGCTATCTTTTCTCTGACAGTATGTTTAGTTGTCAATTGCTCCCCTACACACTACAAGGATGTAGATGCACCCCCCCGTCTGCGGAACTATTAAGGAGAAGGCTCTAGCCGGGACCACAGACAGTCGAGAGGAGCGTTCTATCTTGACCTTGACGCGGTGCACGCTGGCGTCAGAAGAGAGAGCAGCGAGGAGTCAGAGGTCCTCACAGAGGTCCTCGCGCCCACACTGGAGGTCCTCATCAGCGACGCCCGATGCACACTCCCCCCATCACACGGAGGCGATGGGAGAGCGTGGAGAGGCCCGGCCGAGGCCTAGGCTGAGGCTGGAGACGCCCTGTCTTTTAGTTGACTGAGCCCCGACCCGCGAGAGGTCCTCACAGGCAGAGGTCCTACCTCCGCCAGAGGACCTCTTTGCCTTTGGCATATGCGCCGGATCCCGGGACGTATTCACAGCAGTGACCAGTGTGATGGGGTCCCCCTACCCCGGAGTGCTTTCCTTCTTCAGGGCGGAGTGTGCGCGCGTCCCAGTATGGATTGGTGCCGCGTGACACGGAATTATAGCTGCAATTATAGGGGCGCGTGGAAAAAGTGAAAAGGGGGTGATTGCAATTTAAGTGTACATTGAAGTGCAATCACGCCACTCCCGAGCGGTTTCCTTTTCATTTTTTATCCTTTCTCATTCTGTTATTCGATTTATTCGGGGATGCGGGCTTCGCGGTGAATTCTTTTATTCGATGTATTCGCCGCTGTCGCGCTTGTTGCCGCTGCAGCCGACCCTCGTCCATCTTCGCTCGGCGTCCTTCCGCCGCGGGCTGCACGCAACCTCCTTCATCGCTCGCGCACTCGAGGCGAAGGACCCGCGCGTGCTGCTTGGGCCCTTCCGCGCCGCCGCCGGAGGCTACGACGCCTGCCTCACGGGCATGGAGGTGACGGCGATAGGGCCCGAGGGCGTAGCGTGCAGCCTTGTGGTCAGCCGTGCGCTCACAAACAACTACTCCACGCTGCACGGCGGCGCGATCGCCACGATCGTCGACGTGGTGGGCACTCTCGCCATCCTCGGCCGTGATCCTTTGCGGCCTGGCATTTCGGTAGAGATGAACCAGAGCTTTTGCTCCGCGGCTGCAGAGGGCGACCGACTGGAGATACACGGCTCGGTGCTTCGGCTTGGGAAGACGCTCGCCTTCACCGAGGTGACCATTCGCACTGGAGCCGCCGCCAAGCTCGTCGCGACCGGGCGGCACACGAAGATGTTTACAGCAGCGAGAGGACCCTCGTCTCTAGAGACCTTCTGCTAGCAGTGTTTGTGTTTGGAGTGAAGTGGCGATCTAGATTTTACCGCTAGCCTCGGCCTCGGACCGCGCCGCGGGCGCGGCTCTCACGTGCGCGCCCAACTCTCGCCTTCGTACAACGTTCCTGGCACACACTGGGCACTCGGACGCGTCGTCACTGACACTCTACCTATACACAGCACTACGGTCTATGCGCGCACGCACCGCGGCCCTCCGGGCCACCATGGTCCACGAAACCGCTCAGCCCGTCTGCGAGTTCCAGCAGCCCATCCCTGGCTGGCACACCTCCCTCGCCTCCCGGTCCGTCAGGGCGGGCGGGCGGGCGCGAAGCAGCAGCCCCGCCTCTGCCTTTCCAATCTTGGCGCGCACCTGCTTGCAGCCGGACGACTCCGCTGCCGGCGCGTGGCGAGGGAAGAGCTTGTGCGACACCCACGAGAACAGGGACGGCTTCGCCGCGCGGAGCCTGTCGGCCAATTGCGAGCAATTGGCTCACTCATCCACGAGGCGAGGGGTGGCTGCTTCTCCCGCGCGGGGCCTCGCCAGCCGCTCCTTGACAAAGAGGCCTGTTCACAGCTGCACCACGTGTGAATCGCTGCTGCTCACGGCTCCGGTCCGGCCCCCTTGCGTGTGTCGAGGGCGCGCGCCCGAGAGGAGCGTGCGGAGGTAGATGGCCGGCTTCTCGACGGTAACCTATGGTTAGCAGTGGACTGCCACCGCTAGTTCGAGAACCAAGCTACGAGGTCGAGATCTCGGCTTCTCCGCGCGGGCGCGCCGTGTGCACTCGATGGCGCGGCGCCTCGGCAGGCGAGCCCTTGTTGAGCGTGCCCAGCCTCCTCTCCCACACCTCGGCGAGGTGCACGTGGTTGCCATGCACCTGAGGAGCGGCGCGAGGGAGGGGCTCGAGGCGGTTCTCACGCGACGGTGTGCAGACGGTGCTGAGAATGCGCGCGGCGGTGGCTCGCAAAGTGCTGTGGCAAGCCCTCGCGAGCAAAAGGGGCCCACTACCGCCAGACACCTCATAGGGGGCCCGAAGAGACCGCCACAGCGACGCCTCCAGCGAGACCGACTGCCCTTGCTAATGAACTCATTAAGCAGAGTGATGAATGAACTAAGTAGGTGCTTCCACTTGAGCCGCTTCTCCTCCACCGACATCTGAAAGTTGCGCCGTCTCGACTCGTGCTCACACTGTAGCGACTTGCCCTCGTCGTAGAGTGTCACCATGTCGAGCAGCCCGGCGCCGTGCACAGTGACGTCGCCCTTCGACACACTTGCCGACTGCTCGATCCTCTCGAACGCCTCCTGCGTCAGCATGTCGTCGGCGTCGAGTCGAACGAAAGTGAGCCACTCGCACCGCCTCTGATCGAGGAGCACTCGCTTCGCCCCGTCCGCTGCCGCGGCTCTGCTCGTAAAGATGTGGAGCCAGGAGGGGAACCTGGTCTTCAGGGCCTGCACGCGCGTGCGGTTGAGGCTGTACGACCCGTCCATGAGCAAGAAGGCGTCGTGGAAGACGGGCGGCTTGCGCGCGGAGTGGCAGCACTTTGCATGGAACTTTGCGGCCGCATCCACCGACGGCAAAACGACCTCCGCCAGCCACCTATTGACAATGTGTCGGCCCACTCAACTTGGTGCTCGACAATACTATATAGGCCGCACGAGGTCTGCCGACCGAACTCCCTCGCCCATGCGCGCGTCGCTATGCGTGCCCCAGAGCTGGATCTTGACGACAAAGCACCTCGGCTTGGCGGCGGATGGCGAGGGCGGGCGCGCGCCGAAGCGGTTGTCGGCTGGGGCGGCGGTGGAGGCGGCTGTTCGAGTAGCTGGCACCGCCACGCGAGTGGCGAGGGCGGCGGCGGAGGCGGCGGCGGCGGAGGCGGCGGCGGCGGAGGCGGCGGCGGCGGAGGCGAGAGTAAAGGGGGAGGAGCGCTTGCGCGTGGCGGCGGATGTTGAGGCGGCGGTGGCGGCGGAGGCGGTCCTCCCTTGCGCTGCTTCCTCCCTTGCGCGGTGGCGGCGGAGGCGGTCCTCCGAGATCTTGCCGAGCACGCCTATGGGGGGAAGGTCGAGGTACGAGAAGGCGATAAACGGAGGGGAGAGAGATCAGTCATGCTTGTTTGCCGCGAAGCCGTTGTCGTAACGTGGTGGGGTTGGGAGCGCGGTCGATGACTGCGGCGACGGCAGCGGGACGGGCGCGAGACTCGGTCCGAACGCGGGCGCGGGCGGCGGCAACGGCGGCGCGTGAGCGGGCAGCGGGGGAGGGAGTGGCGGTGGCGGTGCGCCGGGCGGCCGCGGCGCCGGCGGGGGTAACGGCTGCGCGGGAAGCGGCGGGTCCGTCGAGAGCGGTGCTGCGAGGTTTGGCGGCGTGCGGCGAGGACGAAAGGCGTCTGCCGCCGGTAGCGTCGTGCGTGAGCCCGTCGGACGGCACGAGGGCGATCAGGACCGCCGTCGCCAGGATGAAGAGGAGCCAACGTCGACAGGACGGCACCATTATCACACGCCGAATAAAAGAATTCGTCTTATAACAAAACTCCCTCGCACAACAGTGGGGACAGGACTGGGCACGGGACTGGCGCGACCGGCACTAAATGTTGTGCGAATAAAAGAATTTCGCGAGCCTCAGGCACAGTTCTCGGAACGCAGACGAGGAAATAAAGAATTTCGCGCGGCGACCATTCTCGTTCTCCCGCGGAGGCGGTGCGCGCCGTGTCGGAGGAGGAGAAGGCCGAGGCGATCTCGGAGGCGGCCGCCGCCGTCGTCCGCTTCTCGTCCTTCGCTCGCCGCTTGGGCGACCGCGACGCTGCCTGCGACCGGACCGCCGCGCTCGGCTTGCTGCCGGAGCTGGGCGACCATTCCGCGCGGCACGAGAGCCTAGAGAATTTCGCGCGCGCGTGCGCGAACAAAACAATTTAAATTCAAACCCGTAGAAGCTGGAAGTTTCGGTGCTAATTCACCCCTCGCGTACACCACACACACACCACACACTCATTCACCTCTCGCCCAGCTCGTGCGCTCCTTTTTACCCATCTCTCTCCCCTCTCCCCAGTAGATGTGGCGTTTTTTCGGGAACGAACAGTCTGTGGCAAGCGACTGGACCTCCAGGGACGCTAGTGGCGGCGGAGATTTTTTCATCGGGACTGGGAGGGATGCCGGATGGGGGTATATCGTGACAGCTGACGACGGGATTACCACTGGTGTTTCGCCCTCCTCGGTCGGAGTCGATCTCCCCGGCTTCCTTCGTTCCGTTCGGCTCTACGTTCGGCGTGGCTCACCCTCCATGCCGTGAACAGGCGCCCTATCCATCCTATAAAAAATCTTCTCTCGCTCCTCTGCCCGTGCCTTTCACGCGGCCGACCTGTTCACAGCAGTGGGCGTGAAGAGACGCTGTTCACACCCTCCCTGCCGGGGCAGAACACGCGGCCGACCCCCTTTGCGAGCGCCTCGTCGAACTCCTCGGGCGGGTAGTGCTCGACCGCCTCGTGCAGGGTCCTAAAGAAAGAAAGAAAGAAAACAGACAAACCCAGACAAGGGATGGGGGAGGAGGACAGGGTCCCCACCTGCACGAGCAGGATTTTGGAAGGACGATCAGGGGGACAGGTGGGGCTCTCCTGCTCCTGACAAGGGACACGACAGGCTCGCAGCGCGGTGCAGGGTCCTTTCCTCCGTCCCGCTGGTTGGAGCACTTGGAGCTGTTCTCATTCTTTTTCATCAGTGAGCCTGTGTGTGTGCCAGTCCGCGCCAGTCTGCGCCCTTGTCGTGCCAGTGTGCTGTGAGAGAGGCTTGTAGCCTAAGAATTCTTTTTGCCCGGCCGCGCGCAGCGCTAATCGGGCGTCCTTTGCTCCTCCGCGAGCTGTATAGGGGCCCAAAATCTACGCAGAAGATGCGGTCGAGATGCAGTCGGGCCGTTCGAATGGCGGCAGCGCCGGCGCGCAGCGCCACGCCGCCAGGCGTCCGCCGGAGGCTCCCCGGCCGACACATCCCGGCAAGCTTGCCGCGCGCACCCACACGTGACGCAGGTGCGCCGGACGCCGCACGGGCGAACCACTGCGCGGGCTTTTGCGCCAGACGCCAGACGTGGCCGATAGACTCTCGCTCCTGTGGGCAGTTCTCCGCGTCCCGGGTAGAGCGAGCTCCCGAGGTGCTACCCGCCCGCTGCGCGCATTGGACTCCAAGTCGATACGAGCGCGCCGCGCGTGGAGCACGCGGCGCGCTCGCATCGATTCGCCACTTCCAGCGTGAGGTGGGGTGTGTAAATAGCTTCAAAGGAGGACCAAGCCGCAAGCGCACCAGCGACACAAGGGACCGTTCTACTAATGCCCTCAAACCAGGGACCTTTGGCAAAGGGGCTGGGAATGCTGCGCTCTCCCACCGCCCACCCCCCGGCCCCGCGCCGCCGGCCGCGCCCAAATAAATAAATAAATAGAACCGACACCTCTACTAGGAGATGGGTAAAAAGGAACAGGTCCCCGCCCTGCGGTCTTTGTGCAGGGTTCTTTGTGGGTGTGGTCGGCGACTAGCCGGGGTCGTCCTCCCGACCGCGCGCCCGCGTCGCCCGTCCGCCGTCGAATTCATCGGGACACGGGACGCGGGCGGCGGGGGCTCTCTCGGCTGCGGACGGCCTACGGGACCGGCCCCAGCTTCGGCTGAGGGCTGAGGTAGTGGTAGTGGTAGAGCCCGACAAGCTGCCGAGCCCGAAGGAGGTGGGGTCCTCCTCCTCACACCCGCCGTCACCCCGGCGGCCCGCGCACGCACGCCGTCTGAGCCTAGCGCAGCGCGAACTCGCTCTGAGCCTAGCGCAGCGCGAGATTTGCGCAGCAACCCGGCCGGGCAACCCTTTAAAAAAAGTTATTCATCATGGCGTCTAGCATGGGACCCGGGGCCCGAACATGCCGCAGGTGTGCGTCTCGTCGCGTGACGGCCTGCTCGTCCCCAGCTCTCAGCCCATAGAGCCAAAATGGCGCACGCTCTCCGCGCCGCTCCATCCTCGGCATGTTGGCAAGGACGGTCTGCTCGGCCTGCGACAGCAACGACTCCGCGGCCCTGTGCTGCTCGTGTGCTGCTGGCGACAGCACCGTTTTCGGTCCAACCCTGCGCACCTCCTGTACGGGTACGGCACCATCCTTACCGCAGCGGTGCAGGGCAGCGTGCCGCGCAACCTGAGCGCGGTGATCCTCCACCAGTGCCCGGCGATCGGCAAGTGGCCACTTGCCGTGGCAATCTCGAACATCGTCCTCGAGGTGGCGCGCGAACGCGGTCTTATCACAGCCTCGACCCGCTTCATCACGCTCAGCCCCTCGTCAACGCACTACCAGTGGGAGGCGCTGCCCTCGAGCCGCGCCGGCGACGAGCTCGTGTGCGCCTCCCCGACGTCGCTGCACGTCCGGACCCAGTACGGCAAGTGGCTACCCTGCCGCCGGCCCCCAGTGCTCGCGGCATGGCAGGCGCGCCTGCGCTCCTGGTTCGCTGTGCTCGGCCTGCCTGCAGACCCATCGCCGACGCGCGCCGTCGTGTGGCGGCGCGACAGCCACTCGAACAACGCCAAGCGGCGCATCGTCAACTTGGCCGAGGTGACGGCGCTCTTTGAGCCGGCCGCACACGTCGTGAGCGCCTCCGAGGAGCTGAGCGCGGTGGAGCAGGTGCGGCTCTTCCGCTCGTTTGCTCTTCTCGTCAGCACGCATGGCTCGCACCTCGTCGGCCTCGTATTCTCGCCGCCGCACGTCGTCGTCGTCGTCGAGCTGCAGAGCGAGCCCAGCGACATGATGCTGCCGAACAACGCGCCGTGCTTCGTCGCGCGCTACGTCCTGAGCACGGGCCACGCGACGGCACGGCCGCTGCGCTGCAACTCGACGCAATTTAGCTGCCGCATGCGCCACAAGGAGGCCGACCTGCAAATCAGCACGGACCGGCTGCGCGCCGACCTCGGCGCGAGCTGCTGGTGGACGCCGAACCAGAGGTGCGTGGTCAAACATGCCACGAGCGGGGGCAGCGCTTCTTTGCCGCCGGCGATTCGTAATGGTTCGAGTGGGGGGTAGAGCAGCGCGCCAGTACCGTTTGGTTACTACGGTTCCCGGCGGCATCGGCGATCGGGCCCTCCTGCTCGGCGCCGGCGAGTATAGACAAAGTGTTCCTCAGTGTTGTCATGAACAGTGACTGTTGAACAGAGTAGAAAAAATAAATATTCTTAGCCTCGCCCTTGCCTCCGACCGCTAGAGACAGAACCCAGAGATACATACGTCAAAGGGACTGCCCCCCTCCCCCAGCCCCACCTGCCCTGCTTACACAGGATAGCATGCCCCGAGAGCGGCGTCATTTGGCAGGGGTGTAACCTGGGAAGGAGGTTCGGTTGTGCTTTTCTTTTGTGCTCTCGGGGGAATGTTCTCTCGGCGCCCATGGCCTTCTGAGGTTTCGTACTAATGACGTCCTTCACTCCTTCTTGGCACTTCGGGCGTTGGTGTGTGCGTATCTGTGGTGTCTTATTCCCCCGGTATTTTGGTGCTATATAGGTGGACGGCTTTGAATCTATGCTGATCACTGATCTCGCGAGCCGAGGTGCGCGGCGTGCGCGGACACCGCGACCCAGCCGCGAGCGCGACCGGCTTGTTGATGTTGGTGTGTGGAGGATGGGACGTGACAGCGGGTGAGGCTCATTTCGTGCTTCGGAAAACCACATTTTTTTTACGCCTCTCTAGAATTTTACCGCGTCTGAAAGCGAACGCGGCGGCAATCATGGGGTCGATGGTGTAGGCTGCCGGGCGGGTCAACTGGAAGTGGACGGGGTCGCCCTGCCTGAAGACGGTCGGGTCGAAGATGTGAGGCACCGTCGCGCTGAAGAGGTCGAGCACGCGGCAGCGCACGCCGCGCGCCTGCGCGCTGGAGCCCGTTGAAGCTGCGCTCAGCACCGCACCGGCGGAGCTCAACGCGAGCGGCCGACCCTCGCCGCCGGCGCTGCGGCAGACGTCGTGCAGAGCGCGCGCCTGTGCACGGCCCTGCGCCTCGACGCGAAGGTTGGTCTGGTAGCATGCGTTGGTCGAGCTGAAGCGCGACGGCACGCCGAGGCCCCACGCGCTCTGAAGGGCGAGCACGAGCTGCGAGTGCGGCGGCAGAGTGCCCACCAGCCGCTCGAGAGCGCGACGGTAACGCTGCTCGGCGACGAAATCGCCGCTCACGCGGCCATTGGAGTGCGAGCCGAAGCTCAGGTAGACGGCGGTGCCTGCCGCGCCCGCCGCCTGCAGCGTCGAGTAGAGCTTGGCGTTGTCCGTCTGAATGCCGACCGGGAAGCCGATCTCGCGGGCCCCCGCGTCATACCAGCTCTCGTAGCTGACCCACACCGAGTTCTGTTGCGGACGGTCGGTCCGCCACACCACCCACCGCGGCGGCCCCCGGTCCCTCGGCTGCGGCACGGCACGCGTCTCCTCGACGAGGCCACGCGCCGACCTGTTGTGGAGCTGCAGGAAGACGCTCTTGATCCTGCCAACCAGGTTGTAGGCCACCGAATCGCCGATGATGCGGAGCCAGCGCCCCGGCACGCGTCCCCGGCTCTTCTCGTGCTTGCTGCTGTTGCTTGGTGTGGCGGCGGGGCAGCGGGCGAGCATCATGGCGGCCGCCCTCTCGGCGGCCGTCTCGCCGCGCCCGGCCATGCCACGCAGCTGATGGCACGCCCCTAGCAGTGCTGGCGCGCTGCTGTTCCGTCGCAAAGAAATATGACGCCGCACGGCGAGCGGCACGCAGCCGGGCGGCAGCGCCGACTGACCGAGGCCCGCGGCCATCGTCAGCCTCCGACAGCCGAGGTTGGGTGCCCCACCGATCTCGGAGCGCATGACATCGTCGAGCGCCAAGTTGAAGCGTTCGACGCGCACCGAGGCACAGAAGTCGCTCGAGCCGGCGAGTGCAGCCGCGTACAGCACCTCGTCGGGAATGGTGGACAGGCTGATGTTCTCGGCGAAGCGCGGGCACACGGCTTGGAGGCTCGAGTGCAGCGGCGTCAGGTCGCACGTGGGGCACGGCCGCGAGCTGACGGTGACGTGCATCACGCTGGCGCTCATGTTGTCTCGGCAGAGGCTGGGCACCCGAGAGCTCAGCTGCAAGCCACCCTTTTCGTCGTGCGCCAGCTGGAAGTAGCCCGAGAGCTGGTCCTGCGACGAGACAGGAAGAATGTGGCCCTGAGTTATGTGTACGCCAACTCAGGGTGTGTGGCAGCCAGCTGGCTGTGTGTCTTGTGAGCTTGTTTGTGTCTGTGTGTCGTTCGTGCGTGTCGTCATCATCTATCTGTCCCGCGTCCACCCATACCGCGTTGGTGTCCAGTCCGAGCCTGACTGTTCTTCATCTTTCTACATACATACATGCGTTGGTGTCCCAGTCGTTGGTCGGACTGTGTTTCGCCTTCCCATCAATCAATCAGGGGGTAGTTTTCGGATGGTCTGCCGCTCAGCTCTGGAGTCCTTTTCTGCCCTGCGTCGGCGCCTCGCCGCTGCGGCGCGCCGGCCTGCTGATTGTCTCGTCTTGAACTGGCGTCCCGTCTCTAGGAGTGCCGGAATCGGCAGGCGTCGCCGTCCCGGCATGTCCCCTGTCTAAAGAAGCGGCACTGGCGCTTGGCCTGCTGCCCGCTGTGGCCCACCTCTCGCGCCCAGCTCGGGCCTGCTCCCTGTGCAGCGCTGTCTTGGGTCGTTTTCCACTCGTCCCAGAGCTCCTCTTGCAGTCTCTTCCGGTGGCCCGGGTAACGCCAGCCTGCGTCCTCGGAGTCAGGATAGGAATTGTCCTGGTAGCCCGGTTCCGGAAGCTCGACCACTGGCTCGCGCCCGCCACCCGGTGGCATAGCCCTCGGCGCGGCCGAAGTCGTATCCGTCTTTGAAGTTGTCCTCTGCCGTGCCTACTGCTTCCGACTCCTTCATCCGCCTCCCATGCGCGATCGCGAAGTCGATCACGGCGCGCGGCGTGGCGTCGATCATGTCTTGCAGCCGACGGCGGTCGTCGGCGAGGCGGGGCTCGTCGCATTCGGCCCAGGTCGAATCGTCCAGTGGCACGTCGTCATCCCTCTCGTCTCCTTTTCTGTATCCGTCTGCCTCCCGGTCGATCGGCGACCAGCCGAGCCACTCTCTGGCGCGGTCGACGGCCTCGTCGTCACCGCACTCGCTGCACGAGTCGAACTCGTCCTCTGATCCGTATCCCGTGAAATCGTCTGACGTCCAACCGTTCCACTCGTCTCGTAGCTCGTCTTGTAAGCCTTCGGCGCACGCGGCGACGGCGTACTGCAGCATCGACCAGCGCGGGCGGTCGCCGTCGCCCTGAAGCCAGTCTCGCAGCTTGCCCATGGAACAGAAACCAGAGGGCTGCCCACAAGCGACGCTGCAAGATCTGAAGGACCGGAACCTTTACTGCAAATTTGCCGCCGCCGCCCCCGAGGCCGCCGCCGGTGCTCGGCCCGGCGCCGCCGGTGCGTCCGTCGAAGTCGAAATTGTAGCCGCCGAAGCCGCGGTAGGCTCCGCCGCCGCCCCCGAAGCCACCGCCGGTGCTCGACCCGTGGAGGTCGGCGGCCCGTCGCGCCGTCCATGGCTCAACGCCAGCTTGCCCGTTGGCGTGCGCGTGGCGCTACTCCTGTCGGCGATGACCGTCGAGGAGAAGATTGCGCAGCTCGGCTATAACATCAGGCCGTGCGCGACGATGGACGTGGCAAAAGACTATGCGAATGGCGTCGGAGGCTGTGCGGTGTCCAGCATCGCCGACACCATTAAGATGCGCAAGGCCCTGCAGAAGCTGACGCGGCTCGGCATACCGCCGTCGATTCACGGCGAGACCACGCATTCGGGCGGCGCAGCGAACACCACCGTCTTTCCCATGCCGTGCCTGCAGGGCGCGACCTTCAACACGACGCTCGTCGAGGAGATTGCCGCCTCCAATGCTCTGCAGCTGCGCGCCGCGGGCGGCGACATGGGGCTTTCGCCCATCTTGCAGGTGTGCACCGACCCTCGCTTTGGCCGCCTCGAAGAGAACTTTGCCGAGGATCCGTACCTGGTCGGCGCGTATGGCGTGGCGGCCGTGCGCGGCCTGCAGGGCCGCGACGGCTGCGGCGGCGCCGACACCTACCTGGGCTCGCCTCGGAGCAGGGTCGCGGCGCAGGGCAAGCACTATGCGATGTACGGCGCCGCCGGCAAGGATGGCTACACGCCGTTTGGCGGCGGCATCGCGGCGCGCACCCTCTTCGACGTCTACCTGCGGCCGTGGCGCGAATTTGCGCGGGCAGGTGGCCGCGGCGTGATGGCGGCACACAACATGGTCGACTGGGTGCCGATGCACGCCAACCGGCCGCTGCTGCACGACGCCCTGCGCGTGCGCTTCGGCTTGGGCGAGGGAGGCTACATCGGCAGCGACAACACCAACGTCGAGGGCCTCGCCGACTACTTTCACGGTTTTGCCGCCAACACCTCCGACGCGGCCGCCATGGCCCTCGCCGCGGGGATCGATCAGGACATGCCGGGCGGCGCCTTCCTCAGCGGCCTGCTGCCGCTCGTCGCCTCCGGCCGGGTGCCGATGGCACACGTCGACCGCGCGTGCGGCAACGTGCTGCGCCGAAAGTTTGCGGCCCGCCTCTTTGACGAGCCGCCCGACGCCACGCTCGCCCGTGAGACGGACTCGGCGCGGGCGCGCGCGCTCGCGAGGCAGGCGGCGGAGGAGGGGAGCGTGCTGCTTATCAACCGGAACGCGGCGCTGCCGCTGAGCGCGTCGTCCGCGCCGACGTCGCCCACGCGCCCGCTGAAGCGTGTGGCGCTCGTCGGCCCCTTTGCCGCCGGCAGCGCGTACACGATCCAGGCGATGGTCGGCGGATATGCGTGGGTGCCCCCGCCAAGGGCGGTGGTCACCGTCGGCGACGCGCTGCGGCGGCGCGGGGTGGAGGTCGACGTGGCGGTGGGCTCTGGCGCTGGCGTCGGCGGGCCGGCGGCGAGCGAGGCGGACTTTGAGGCGGCCGTGGCGCTTGCGCGCGCACCATCGACGGACGCGGTCATCGCCGTGCTGGGCACCACATCGTGCGGCTGCTGCGTGCGCTGCGGCAACGGCGAGGCGGGCGACCGCATGTCGCTCGAGCTCGAGGGCCGACAGCTGGAGCTGCTCGCGGCGCTCGTCAACGCGTCGCACGCCACAGCGAGGCAGAGCGGCCGAGCGGCGGCTCCCGTCATCGTCGTGCTCATCCACGGCCGGCCCGTCTCGTTCGAGGGGGGCGGGCCCACTGCTGCGGGCCTCGAGAGGAGGCGCAGCGAGAGGCGCAGCAGCGGCGATGGCGACGACGCGGTGGGGGGGGATAGCGACGTGCTGCTCCTCGGCGTGGACGCGCTCCTCGCCGCGTGGCGGCCTGGCGAGGAGGGCGGCAGTGCGATCGTCAACCTCCTCTTTGGCGACGCGAACCCGAGCGGCAAGCTGGCGCAGGCGTGGCAGCGCTCCGCGGGCTTCATCCACTCGCCGACGAGCCCGTGGTTCCAGCCGCACTCGAGCATGACGCCGGGCAGATACTTTGGCAATGGCGACGGCGTGCCCCTCCTGCCGCTCTTTCCGTTTGGCCACGGCCTCTCGTACACCAAATTCGACTTCCGAGGGCTGCGGGTCGACGGCGCACGAGGGCTGCCGCCTGCCGCCGCTGGAGCGCAGCTCGAGCAGCTGGGGCTCAACGTCTCGCTCGTCGTGCAGAACAATGGCTCGCGCGCCGGCGCGACGCCGGTCATCGTCACATACTCGAAGGTGACGCGGGGCGTCGTGCGATTCGACCGCGAGACGTGCGCCTTCGCCAAGGTGTTCCTCGAGCGCGGCGGCTCGAAGCGAGTCGTGGCGCGCGTGCGCATCAGCGACCTGGCGCGATGGGATCCTTACCACGGGCCGACGGCAATGGCACAAGATGATGGCGCGCCAAGGACCATCGCATCGGGAGCATGGGTCGTCGACGGCGGCACGTACACCTTTTTCGCGGCCGGGTGCGTGGCCAACTCGGTGTTGCGCGATATTCACCACGCGGGCGATCCGTCGTGCCCCTTCTTTGAGAGCGCCGTCGTCGGGAAGAGTGTCGTCATCGGGCGCGAGGGGGAGGTGTATGGGGTGTATATGTGATGTGTGTGAGTAGGCCGCCTACCATAACAGTAGGGAGGAGAGCGAGCGGCAGCGGCGACATGAAGCCCAGCGACATCAAGAAGCGCGCCGCGTCCTTCGAGTCACAGGACGAGGGGGGCTCGCTGCAGTCGCTTCTCGACGGCGCGGTCTCAGGCGGTGCATCCACCTTTGACCTCGCCGCTGCGCCGGCGATCGTCCAGCAGCAATTCGTGGTGTTGTCGGCTGACAAAAAGGCGGACGCGCTGGCACGCCTCGTCGCTGCGCCGCCATCGCTTACCAGCGTCAATCTCGCGGGCGGTGGGCTCGAGACACGTGCCAACTTTGAGAGAAATGGGCTGAGCGAAGCTGGACTCTTGCAGCTCGCGGAGGCACTGCTCGCGGACGCCGAGGGTTCGTGCGAGCACGCACTGTCCGACCTCTCCGTCGCCAACCAGCGCAGCGCCCTCTCCACCCTCGCCATCAGCCGCCTGCTCGACGCGATGGCGAGCCGGACAGGCATCGTGCGCCTCGGCCTCGGCAACCTGCGCGACGGCGGTGCGCGCAAGCGGCATCAGCAGGTGACGATGGCAAACACCGAGGCGAAGCGCGTGCGGCGTCAGCAGCAGCAGCAGCAGCAGCAGCAGCAGCAGCAGAGTGCAGATGGCGACGGCACCGGTGGCGGTGGCGGCACCGGCGGCGGCGGCGGCACGCCTCTGGTGCGTCGCAGCAGCGCGAGCAGTGGCGCGCTGCCGAGTGGCGAAGGCGGCGGCAGCGCGCGCAAGGTGTCGAGTGGGCTCCTTGAGCGCGTGGTGTCGGAGAAGACGGAGAAGGCACGCGGCGGCGCGGCGGCGTCAAAGGCGCGGATCGCCGCCGCGGCGATGGCCCGGCTGCGTGCGTCCCACTCGTGGCGGTTCCAGTCCGACACGACAGTGACGAAGGTGCCGTGGGCCGCGCCGGTCGCGTCGAGCGCGGCCTCGATGCGCATGCCTCGTCCGTGGGCCGCGTGCCTCGTCCTGGCGTGGAAGGCGACGGGGTCGTCTTCGTGCAGGAGCTGCACCGAGACGCGGCCGGCCTCGAGGGCGGCGAGAGAGTGTAGAGCTCCGTGTAGTTCGCCTTCGGCTGCAGCCGCTGCTCAAAGTCGCCGTGGCAATGCGCACCGAAGAGGTACCAGGGCAGCGAGCCGGCGAGCGGCAGCGAGAGGCCGACGCGCGGGTCGAGGGCGGGGGCCACCGGCCCTCACCGCCAGAAAGAAAGAAAACAGACCAACCCAAGGGAGGGAGGGGAGGACGGCACGCCGCCACCAAACAGGGATTTTAAGGAGAGGGGTGTGGTGCGCTAGCCGTCGCCCACCCTTGGGCGTCCGCCTCTTCCTATCTCTCCTCGCAGTCTCTCTCCGATTCTCGCTGCAACCTTCGTGCCACCTCGCGGTCTCCCCCTCACCGCCACCCCTGCCGCCCCTGCCACGCCTGTATTTTTTTCCGGGACGCCCCGACGAGCGCCCATTCGAAGAGCGCCCGGTTGCATCATACCCCATCGCCGACCGCCCATTCCTCACTCCTGACCTTCCCCGACAACTTATTTTTTGGGATGCGAAGAGAGCGGTTCTTGTAAGGAGTGTCCGCGAGCAGTCGCGCGTCGCGTGCGCGTCCGAGGAACCTTGTGAGTCACACGCAGATGGCCAGCTCCTTCCTGACCTCCTGGCTGCCGCAGAGCCTCGCCGCGCCCTCCTCGGAGGGCTGCAAATCCGCCGACAAGGCGGACGCAGAGGGCGGCGCAGACAAAGGCGCGCAGCAGCCTGCCGCCGCGCCTCCCAGCCAGCAGGGCGAGCTCTCAAAGGGCAAGGAGCTCGCCGTGGCGGTGCCTGAGCGCGTCGCGCCCGCAGACGGCCAGGCCGCCGCCAGTGCTGGCGCCTCTGCCGCCGCTGCCGCGCCCGAGCCGCCGTCTCCAAAGGCGTACACCGCTGCGGCGTCGCCCGCGGGTCGGCGCGCGGCGGGGGAGGAGGAGGCGACCAGGCCAAAGGGCCGGCCCGCCAAGCAACGCGTGCGCCACCGCAAGGTGCGCGAGGGCGTCACCGTCTTCAAGGGCCACCCGTCCTTCTCGATAGCGCAAAACCTCAAGCTGGGGATCGCGTACGCGACGGGGCGGGCGGGGGCGCGGACGACGCGGCAGGGGCCGCTGCAGGCCAAGGACCTCAAGGCGGTCTATACGCAGCACTTCCCGCGCGAGGGCTCCGCCACCACTCCCGCCCACTCCACCTCGGCCTTCCAGTTCAAGGCCGCCGCGCCTAGACACTTCCTAGACAACTCCTAGACAACTCCTAGACACTTCCTAGACAACTCCTAGACAACTCCTAGACAACTCCTCGACAACTCCTCGACAACTCCTAGACACTTCCTAGACACTTAGAAGCCTCCAGTTGCACGACAACCTCCTAGACTCTTCCTTGGCTGGGAGCAGGACCACGCGCCGCTGGCCTTCCGGCACCTGCGCGAGCACTTTGGGATCGACGAGCAGGAGTACGTCGTCGCCATCTGCGGCGAGGGGTCGCTGCGCGAGCTTGGCACGCCGGGCAAGAGCGGCGCCCAGCCTTTGCCCCGGAGCGCGCGTGTGTCCGGAACAGGTCCACGACTCGTCCCTGCGGTCCGCAGGCGCCGTCTTTTACCTGACCGAGGACGCCCGCTTCATCATCAAGACGGTGTCCAAGAAGGAGTCCAAGTTCCTGCGCCGCATGCTGCCAAACTACTACGCGCACGTGCTCTCGTCCGACCAGACGCTGCTGCCGCACTTTTACGGGTTGGTCCGCATCACGACCGCCCTCGGCCGAAACATCCGCCTCGTCGTGATGAACAACCTCCGGCCCGAGGACTTGCCCGTCCACGAAAAGTTCGACCTCAAGGGCTCGACGCTCGGCCGGTACGCGACCGCTGCGGAGAAGCGCTCGACCAACGTGACGCTCAAGGACCTGGACTGGAGGCACGAGCTGGCGGTGCCAGGAGCCTTCCAGGAACCTTCCAGGAACCTTCCAGGAACCTTCTAGGCACCAGCTCGCGGTGCCGTCCGACGTGCTCACTCCGCTCCGGAGGCAGTTCGCGGCCGACGTCGCCTTTCTGCGCGAGATGCGGATCATGGACTATTCGCTCCTCGCCATGCTCCACTTCCCGGCCCGGCCGGTCGCCGACGCTGACGGCGCCGTCTCAGACGACCCCGGCTCAGAGGTGGAGACGTCGGAGGAGGTGGAGGGCGGCGGGGAGGGGGCCGGCGGGGAGGGGGCCGGCGGGGAGGGGGCCGGCGGGGAGGGGGGCGGCGGGGAGGGGGGCGGCGGGGAGGGCGGCGCCGAGGCGGCGGCCGCCGCCAGCGACCGGGCGCGCTTCGCCCTCGCTGCAGCCGGCCTACGGCCGCCGGACGGCGGCGGAGGTGCTGCCGGGCTGGGGAGCGCGGGGCTGGGCAGTGCGGGGCTGGGCAGCGTCAAAGGGGGCGGGGAGCTGCGCGAGCCGGTTCCGTCGGCGGGCACGCTCGCCTCGCTTGCTCCGACGGTTTGTGCGCCGCGGACACTACTAGAGCGGCTAGTGAAGTAGTGAATTCGCTGACTATTGAATTAGGTGTGCGCCGCGGACACGTCCGAGAGCGGTTGCGGTGACTCGGGCGCCGCCGGCGACTCGGATTCGGAGCTGGAGGCGGACGAGGCTCGCGACGCGCTCCGGACGTGCGCTCGAACATGAAGTATTAGTGGATTAACTGGTTGAATGATTTGATTCATTAGGCTCGCGACGCGCTTCCGGACGTGCGCTCGAACGAGCTGGCTTCTCGGACCTTTCCCGGACCCTTCTCGGACCCTTCGCGGAACTTCTGCCGCAGGTGAGCTCGAACGAGCTGTCTGCGGCGTACGAAAAGTCGCAGAAGCGGCGGTCGCTCGGGGCGGTTGGGCGGGACTGCCAGCCAGTGCGGCGCGAGGACGGGGTGGCCGTCTCCCTCTCGGACAGCGGCGAGGAGGCCGTCCTCTTTTGCGGAATCATCGACATCCTGCAGCAGTACGGGGCGCGCAAGCAGCTCGAGCACCGCTACAAGGCGATGCGCTACCTCGGGAACCGCGCTGGCATCTCCGCTCACCGACCCGCGCCTAACAGTCGGCTAATTAGTTCACAGTCATTCGCTGCTTCATTAGGCATCTCCGTCACCGACCCGCGCACCTACGAGCGCCGCTTCCTTGCCTTCATCCTCGGCAGTGTCCTGCCCGGACCCCCTCCGGCGAGTCGAGTCGAGGAGGGCCAGGGGGGGGAGTATCAAACCCGCGGCAATGGTGGGAGCAGTGCTCCCAAATCCCCGGATGATGACACTACATCGTTGAGGGGGTGAGATCAACAGTTGTGTCTTGTGACCCAGCCCCAGGCCGACGCGGGTCGCTAGCGGGCGGGGTGGACGAGTCGTAGTCAGGGTGCGGTGGGGCGACCGTTTTACCGTTTTACCGTTTTACGCTACCGTTTTTACCGACGACCGACGTGAGGACTGAGGTAAGAGTAACTAGTAAGCTAGGCTAAAGTTCCATTTCACCCCGTCCGTGAAACAGGCCAAACACGCTATATATCGCTAATCTTGAAAACGTCCAACGGAGCTCCGTGTTGCTCCCAGCGCCCTCCCCCGCGCTTCCTGCGGCCCTAGCCGATGATACTAGCATGGGAGGTCATCTGGCTACCGCGAGAGCGACCCAACTCGTCGACATCGTCCGATGATGGTGCCTCAAAGTCAGCCTTCGGAGGCTATCGTGGCACGTGGGGTCGAGCCGGCAGTAGCCGCGACATGTGGTTCCACCACCCCTCGTAGGCTTTGCCTCTGACCGCCACACCGTTCCCAGGCTGCCTAATGGGATGGAAAGGAAGGCTGGGCGAGCGTATAGAAGCGTGCTCGACCTCGTCGTGGCAGCCTGCACGGCAGCGCTGGCGGGCGCGATGAGCGTCGTGCCACTTGACCCGAGACGGGTCGCAGGCGTCGTACCGAGGGCGTCGAGACCGTGTCCTGATGTGATCTGTACGGGTGAGTCACGTCGGCGTCAAAGGAGCGACGTGCGACCTGTCAGAGCTTGATCTCCGATCTCAGCGACGTCGAGTCGTCTCCGGCGCGCGACAAATGTACCTCCCCAGGATGCGCAGAGGCAGCTGCGACCCCGCCGAGTGGACGGCGTCACACAGCAGGCATGCTCTCCCGCTACCGCCTCCTGCGGCCCCACGCGGCCGGCCACGCATGCACCGAGGTTGGTCGCCCAGGCTGGGGCAAGCTTACCTCTCACCGGGTTCGGGTCAACCCCGTCGGTCATGGGCTTGATCTCCACGGGCTGGTCGTATCCAAGCGCCGCTGAGCTGACTCTCTGCAGGTCACGGCGCAGCTCCTCCTCATTACCATGGTCTCTCGGCAGCGGGACTATCACGACCCCATCATGCTGGAGGCTGATGACCGCTCGGCCCGTCGCGCACGCCCAGTTCCATTTGGCCGTCCTAGGACTTTCCTTTCCTTCGCCGGTGTACCGGAGGGAGTCAAGAGGGAGGGTGAGGAATCAGCAGGTATCTAGCAGGTGTGGGCCGCGAGGCGATGTCGGAGGCGGACAGCGACGCAGTTGACGCGCGGTGGGGACCCCCCGCCGGTCGGTGGTCTGCCCCTGGACCGGACCCCCCCCCCTCCGGTCGGTCGCTCTCTCGGCGGCGGGAGGTGTGACGACCGACCCCTCGGTCGGTGTCCTTGCCGTGAGCCCCCTCAATCAAACGCTCTCCTTCCTTCTCGCGAACCGCCACGGGCGCTTCGAAATCGCCGGTTTTCACTAACACTATGTCTATGAAAACTATCTAGTTACGCAGCCAAGCGCCAAGGAGACTTCTTCGCCGAGGCCCGAGCGAGCCCGACTCCACAAACATAAGTGGAGCATCCCTGGAAAAAAGAATTTTGTCAAAAAAAGAAACCCTTGTGCGACGCGCGCCTACCCGGGCGCGTCTGATCGCTGATGGAGGAACAGGCCCCCAGCTTGGAAGCCTATCTCTCCCAGGAAACCTTCCACAGGATCAACGTCGCGTTTCCCGGCGTACGGCTGCTCCACGAGCGACCGTACATCTTTGCGGTCGACGACTTTGCAACTGCTGAGGAGTGCCTCGCGCTGATCCGCCTGTTCAACGATGAGAATGCGCAGCCGTCCGCCACGGCGCCGTGCCAGGAGGAGCTTCGCACCAGCAGCAGCGTCTTTCCTTCTCTAGACGCGATCTTGTGGCTGCGGCAGAGAATCGCGGCCGCCACCAACGTGACCGACGCACAGCTCGAGCCAACCAAGATCAGCAGGTATCTGTGCGGGGAGTACTTCCGAAAGCACACCGACGCATCCTTCCTCAACGAGAAGCTTTGGGCCTTTGCAGCGCGGCTGGCCGGCGTGGACGACGAGGGCGTGCAGGTTCGATGGACGGCGCCCCGACATCCCCCGATATCCTGATACATATCTCGCAGCGGATTCGTTCTCTCACGGTACGGGATTGCACCTCCTCTCGCAGGAGCCGTGCGGCTGGCCCTCCCGCTTCTGCACCCTCTTTCTATACCTAAGCGACAGCCAAGAGGGAGGGAGGACGCGCTTCCGCTGGCTGGACGGCGCCGCCTTCAGGCCGCTCGACGCGCAGCGAGTGCTCTACTTGATCATTATGATCAGCAATACGGAGTAGGCGCTGACTCCCTGCCCGGCGCGCGAGTCTTCACGGCCTGCATAGAGTCGCTGGACGGCGCCGCTTCCGAGCCACTGACGGGCGGCGCCGAGGCGGCCGCAGCGCGAGCTCAGCGCGAGCTCAGCCTGACCCCGCGCGCGGGCACGGCAGTCATCCACTTCCCGACGACCAGCCTCGCGAGCGGCTGCGTGCCTGACCCGCGCACGATGCACGAGAGCGAGCCAGCGGGGGAGGCGACAAAGTACATCCTGCAGCAGTTCATCTGGCCCGTCCCGATCGAGCCCGCAGGCGGTCGCATGCACGAGGACGTGAGGAGGGAGTGGGCCGGCGTGCTGCGAGCCGCCGAGCCGCCTGCTGACCAAAGCGAACCGGCTGCTGCCGACCAAAGCAAGCCGCCTACCGACCAAAGCGACCTGCCCGCTGCTACTCGAAGCGACCCGTTTGTTAAGCAAAGCGAGCTGGACTTGCCTCCTCGCCCGGATGCTTGCTCGCTTGCTGACAGTGCTCCCGGCGCCGCCAACGCCGAGCGCCTCGCGAGCGCAGCGGGTGTGCGCGTGTGCGAGCAGACCGCGCCGGGGTGGGTCGGGCAGTGCGGCGCGATCGAGCGGAGCTCCTTTGTCCGCTCCGAGGTGTGGCCGATACGCCGAGAATTGAGCTGGGATGTAGCCGACTTGTCCCCCCCCCCCCCCCGGAGACGCGTTCTGCCTTTCGGCGGCAGGACACACGCCCCGCAAACGAGCGGTGGTCAATTTCTCTTTGTGGATGAGGCAGTTTAGTAGTTCACCACAGGCCGTCGCCCCTCAGGCGATGGACATCCCCGACGAGCTGCGTGGCGGCGCGCGGCTGCTGTGTGCCGCGCCACGCTCCCCATGGGTTGGTCCCTCTCTCGGCCGGTCGTCTTCCCACTTTCGTGTTCCCACTCCACGCATGTTCACTCTCTAGGTCGGCCCCTCCCTCGGCCGGTCGTGCTATCCGGACACGCGCGTTGGTGCCATCGTTGGCGCCACTGTGAACGGCTAAAAATCTTCACACCTCGAGCCGTGAATAGGTGCGTCGGGTATGTCATCCTCCGGGGCCTCGCGCGCGAAGACGGGGAGGGCGGCGAGGGCGGCGGCGAGGGCGGCGGCGAGCTGCATTCGAGCAACCCCTTCGACGTCGAGGCGGACCTCCTTGCCGGGCAAGGCGGGTTGGTGCCTTGCCGGGGCGAGTTGAGCGATGCTCGTGGCTGGGCTGATGCCCCCAAGCAGCATGCAACCACAGCCGTTGCGCCGACGGTTCTCATCTCGAAGCTCGCCGTTGCGCCGCTGCTGAGGCGCAAGGGCATCGGCCGCGCGCTCCTTTCCGCCGCCGTTTGCCACGCGCGGGAGGGGCGAGCCGCCGCGTGCTGTCTGCACGTTGATGAGGCCAACGCTGCGGCGCGCGCCCTATACTTCGCGTTCGGGTTCAGAGTCTCGGAGAGGGTGGAGGATATGTACTCTCCCGGCCGGCACGGTCTCGCAATGACGCTGCGGCTCTGACTCTCTTTCTAATATAGCTTTATAGAAAAGGTATGCTCACATCTTCCTCGCGGCCCCTACGCTCCCTATACGAGCGGCAGCTCGGATCGCCGGCGGCTCTCCTACGTCCTAGCTGGCGCAAGAGCTTTGGAGCGTGTTATTGAGAAAAAAATACGTCCTATGGCGCTGTACCCTGTACGCTGGTCTGTGAGAGGTTGAGGTGCGAGCCCTGGAGGCCCTGGGAATGGGGGGAGACTACCCGCGGGCCTAGAAGGCCCGCGCGCAGGGGGGTGGGGCATTGAGACCGGTCATGAAAGAGTGCGCGACACGCATGTTGCGAGCACAGTAAAGGGAGGATGGAAATCGGGGGACGCGACCCACCTCGCCACAGACGGTCCCGCGCCTCGCCGCTACGACGGCGACACGGCCGCAGCTCGTGTGCGTGTCGCCGTCTTTGTCCGGAGTGAATACTCCAACGCGCTCGTCGGTGACGGTGTCCCCCGATTTCGCCGCGCTCGGCGAACCTCGACAGCGCTTTCGGTGGCATGCAGCTCTTTGCGCCTGAAGCCTGGAGTGAAGCTCCTCTGCTGCTCACACACTCTGCACAGATGGCACAGCCCACTGTGCGGCTGCCACAGCTGTCACAGCAATGGGCTCGCCCTCACTGGCCCTCAATCAGTTGTGCTGCGGCTTGTGTGAGCGACACTGCGCGGCGACTGCCGGCACACTGTGAGACCATGGGTATGAGGTAAAACCACGCTACCAGCGCTTGGTCACATCAGCCCTGAGGTCAGATCCTTCTCCTCTGTTGATGGTAACACTTGTCTACTCGCTGGAGCCGAGCAGGAGGGCTTGGCGCACAACCCCTGTTCAACTCAGGGTCCACACCCCGTACACAGACAACCGCGACAGTTATAACACACACACCCCCATCGTCTGCATCTGACTCTCGACTCGTAAGGTAAGGTACGGTAAACTTCTCCACACACACGAGGTCTCAGAACCTGGGCCAGGAGCTACGATCGATGGTTCCTTCCTCTTTAATGACATCGTCGTCCCATTTGTAAAAGTCAAAGTCGGACTCGGCGTCGTCCGGGTCCTCCTCCTCCTCGTCGGAGGAGCCCTGCATGTTGAGGAACTTCCAGCCGGCTCTCGAAAACTTGATGTTGCACGAGTCGAGCCACATCTTGAGCGCGTCGAGGGTGCTCGATGTTGATCGCACTTGGAGAATCGCAATCGGCGTCGGGAGGTCGGCCTCGCATTAGTCGCGCGCGCGCTCGCCTCTGCCCCGATCATCGTAGCCGCGCCGCTCGTCATGCCGCCCGTCATGATGCGGCCGTTGCCCGCCGCGCAATGGCGCGTCGTGCCATCGCTCAGCGGGCAATTGTGGCTCAGCGTGCCTTCGCTGCTCTCGACATCCGCACCAAGAGTCGTTGTAGCCGCGCCGCTCGTCATGCCGCCCGTCATGGTTCGGCCATTGCTCGCCGCGCAATGGCTCGTCGCGCCATCGCTCAGCGGGCAATTGTGGCTCAGCGTGCCTTCGCTGCTCGCGACCACTGCACCAAGAGTCGTTGTAGCCGCGCCGCTCGTCATGCCGCCCGTCATGCCGCCCGTCATGGTGCGGCCATTGCTCGCCTTGCCAACGCTCGTCGCGCCGTCGCAGCTCATCCCGCCGCGGCTCATCGCGTGATCGCGACCGCCGTCGCTCGCCCTGCCATCGCCACTCTTCGCGTCCGCACTCGGCGCGCCGTTGCTCATCACGCCAGCGACGCTCCTCGGTCCGATGGGCCATGTCTGCACACTTGTCGTCGAGACGAGCGAGATGCGTGCGTCCCGGGATTTGAAACTTAGATGTTCGTTTTCAGTGGGGAGGGCAACCCTGATGTTAGAATCGCTCTCGGACGAATTTTGGCGGAATTCCGAGGGGAAATCGAAAAAGGGGAGAGTACAGTAAGAAACGATCAGCGATCTCACCCCCCGATGCCCCCGCAAAAAATGGGGAGATGCGGGCGCGACGCTCTCGCGACCCGCCTGCGGACGCTCCTCGACCGAAACCCTGCGCTGCGGCGGCCCGGCCCCCACACGCAGGCCCTGACATCGAATACACCCCACGGCAGACGGCTCGTCAGTACAAGTAGAGCGCGCACCCGTCGGGCAGGCGGGGAGGCGGGCAGGCGGGCAGCGGAGCCCGCAA